ATAGACATTTGGACAAGTGTTGCCACAGAGTCATATCTTAGAGCAGGTCACCAACTCCAGTCCTCCAGTCCTACCATCCTGTAACTTTTAGATGCGTCTCTGCTCAAACACACCTGGATCAAATAAACTGCTCGTTTCCAGCTTATTGCAGAGAGGAATGAATGCTGGTGAGGGAATTCAGACATTTTGGAGCAGAGGAGAATCTAAAAATTGTAGGATGGTAGCCCTGGAGGACTGGAGTTGGTGACCCCTGTCTTAGAGTAAAAGAAAATGTGCAATATGCATTAAACGAAATTTGACAGGTGCAAAAATTTGGGCACCCAAACAGAAAAATCACATTAATATTTAGTAGATCCTCCTTTTCCAAAAATAACGGACTCTAGACGCTTCCTTTAGCTTTTAATGAGTTTGTGGATCCTGGATGAAGGTATTTTTGACCATTCCTCTTTACAAAATAATTCCAGTTCCATTAAGTTTGATGGCTGCAGAGGACATGGATAGCCCGCTTCAAATCATCCCACGGATGTTCAACAAAAGTCAGGTGTGGATACTGGGGTGGCCTTTGCAGAACATTTGTTCCTTTGTGTGAATGTCCGAGTAGATTTGAAGCAGTGTTTTAGATCATTGTCTTGCATATCCATCCCCGGCGTAACTTCAACTTCGAAGCTGATTCTTGAATATCATTCTCAAGAATCTGCTATACTGAGTGGAGTCCATGCGACCCTCAACTTTAACAAGATTCCCAGTGCTGGCATTGGCCACACAGCCCCAAAGCATGATGGAACCTCCACCAAATTTTACAGTGGGCTGCAATTGTTTTTCTTGGGATGCTGTTTTTTTTTTTGCCACCACGCATAAGACATTTTTTATGACCAAACAAATCAATCTTTGTTTCATAAGTCTACAGGACCTTATTCCTAAATGAAGCTGGCTTTTGCATACCTCAAACGACTCTGTTTGTGGCGTTCTTGCAGAAAAGGCTTCTGCCACATCACTCTCTCATAGCTTCTACTTGTGGAAAGTGCGCTGAATTGTTGAACGATGCACAGTGACACCATCTGCAGCAAGATGATGCTGCAGGTCTTTGGAGGTGGTCTGTGGGTTGACCTGGACAGCTCTCACCATTCTTCTTCTCTGCCTCTCTGATATTTTTCTTGGCCTGCCACATCTGAGCTTAAGAAGACCTGTCCCTGTGATCTTTCATTTCCTTACTATGTTCCTCACAGTGGAAACTTACAGCTGAAATCTTTGAGATAACTTTTTGTATCCTTCCCCTAAACCAGCGGTTTAGAGGAAGGATTCTCCTGCGCCCTCCCCCCCAGTGGTTTCCAAACTATTCTGGGCGCCCCCCTATGGATTACAAATAGCGGTCTGGTTGAACGATGTTTGTGAGCGAAGTGGGTGGGGGGTGGATTCTTAGAAACTCCGTTATACTCAGCCCCGACTCCCGATGAACAAAGGAGGGGGGGGAAATCAACTTTTTTGGGAGCAAAATGAATCGTAGCTGAACATAAACACCAGTATCCTAGAAGCTACGGGTGCTGTATTGATATCAGCTAGTCATCTTTTAGCTAACATTACCTGCATCCAACAGCTTTACTCAACTCAGTTGGTTAGTTTGGA